TTTCACAAACACTTTTGAGCTTTACAAGAGAGTCCCCAACGTGATAGAGGATCCTGAAGTTTGGCAAGTGGATTAGATATACCTACACCATTGTAGTGATTTCTATAGTTTATTTTAGTAGAATTTTAGTTAGTTTTAGGCAGGAAAATTCCTGTTTTGAACACGTGACAAACCATATCTTTTGAATAATCACACTCTGTTTAGCCTTTATACGACTTAGTTCTTAGATATACCTAGTAGAACTCCGGATTAAATAGTTAAATACTCAAGAATCAATCATAAAGTAGAAGACGAGGGGACCGATTAGCCGACGTACTAGAGTAGTTAGGATAAAAAAGTTTAACTACCAGGTGGTAGCCGATTAAAACTCAGTGCGAAGTAGAATACTAGTCTATGACAACCTCCACGAATCTATATAATTGAATAGTAGTATCATATTATTTAGTTTTATTAGTATTATTATTAGTTAGTAACCAAAACCCCCCAACCTTGCCCTGGATAAGAACGCCAGCGACATTAGTTAGAAGAATTTAGGACTACTACTAGAAATTATCAACAACTCAACTCAAGATAAAGCAACCGGAATCAGTTATTCTCAGTCATGGCGTTTTCCCAGGCTCAAGACGGACCGACTCTACCGACAACCAACCCAGCTTCAACTGGAATATTCTCTGGCAATCAAAACAATCCCAACATGAATATTGATCCACCAATAATACCACCTCTTTTACCCCCACCACCAATACGAACAAGTCATACTCGAGTACGGCACTATCGTGAAAGGTATGGGGCTCATCAAAACAATCAACAAAACGACAACCCAGCTGGCTCTGGGAACACTCAACAAACAAACTACCCTGCGGGAACCTACGGCTTACCTCCGGACATTCAGGAAATGGACGAGCCCATGCCTAGACCTGCAGTCATCATCAAGGAACCAGACTTAAGATATGAAGGCGAGAACTTTGAAGACTTTTTGGAACGATTCGAACTGGCGGCAGAAATCTACGGTGCTGGCGGCTATGACAAAGCACGTCAAGTGTGTAGATTTGTGAAGGTAGAAGAATTGAAGAAGGAATTGGAATTGATGGACGGATACGAGCAGCGGAACTGGACACTTCTTTGTGCAAGCATGATAGAAGTCTGGGGAGGCGTGGCAAAGAAGATTCGGTACACGATCAAGGACCTTTACAATTTGATTGATTTCTGTCAGAAGAAAGGCGGAATCAAGCAGCTGAACGATTTCAAAACTTATCAGTCAAAGTTCATGATAATAACTAAGTATTTGGTAAGAAATGAACATATAGTAAATGAAACCAGTGTCTCTCACCTTTTCGTTTTAGCGTTTTCAACAGATATACAGACGAGCATTAATCGAGAGCTAGTCAAGGCAGACCTCATTCCTACAGGGAAGGATGGTTATAACAAACCACCCCTCCTTTCGGATGTAATTGATGTAGCTGAGGATGAAATTCGAGCAAGGTCACTCAATGTCTTTGCAGCTAGTGGATTCGCCGAGGCCAACCAATCGATGCAAAGGACTCTGGACCAGAAGAAAGGCAACGGAAAAAAGCGTGAGAAGATGATGGACGACAAT